ATACTCAAGACGTGGTCCAGATGGCAAGTTCCCAAATAAATCCTCCTTAGTTTGCTCTGATTCCTGTTTCAGCTCTTGCAACACCGCTAGGCCATCATTATCATTAAGTTTACCTGTATCTACACTCACTGGCCTTCTCCTTGTCTACAGAAAGCTCTAAGGACAGGGCCTACCCCAACACTCCTGACTAGAAGGGTGCTGGCAGATAATGGGTACTCAATCAAACCAAAGGGGTAAAAACATCTCCAATAACATCAAAATCCTCCCCCTACTGGTTGGTTATTCCACTTCTGTCATTCTGATCATTTCTCTCCAGTGGGTATTTCTGTAAGCATTGAAACAACCCTCCTCCACAAAGCCTCCCTTAACATAAAGAAACTTCCTCAGAGCCCAAACTGCCATGATCACACTCTGCCTTGCCCTGACAACAGTACATCATGTCAAGGCGCTGTATGATGCTGGATGTAAAGACCAGCTCTGCCTTCATGTTGATCTGAGAATTTTCTACAAAGTCCATCATTTCCTTTTTGATGCTGTCCTCTGCTGAGCCCCAAATACCGTTTTCCTTACTGTCTTACGTCTCAGGCAGCTCCTTCCCTGTAGGTTTGCTCATTTCTCCCGTTGGATATCCCACTGAAATATGTTCCTCAAAGTTTGGGCTGGGATTCACTTCACTGTTAATTCCTTCCCTACACATGATGTTTTCAATGATTTAAACTATCTTTAGACTGCTGACTCTCAAACTGATTCCATTTTCAAACACAGCTGTTCACATTACTCCTGTGTATAAAATACTTCTAGGGGCCTGACATGGAAATGCATGCCTATAATCCCTGCTACTCAGGAAGCAGAGGTAAGAGAATCATGGTTGGAGGCTGGCCTGGGCAGTTAGCACAAAACCCCATCTGAAAAGCAAATGGACTCATGTGTGGCTCAAGTGCAAGAGCCTTGCCTACAAAGTTTAAGGAACGTTTCATACCCCTTACCGTGTGTGAGTACACATGTGCACTTGTGCGTGCACGCGCACACACACACACACAAACACGCCTGCACGCCTGCACACATACACACACCCTTCTAGACTGTGAACAGATGTGGGTTTCAGTTCTGGGGGGGGGGGGTTGGCTTGGTTTTCTGCCTATTTCTCCCATTAGAATGTAAACTCTCTAAGGACCAGGGCTGTTCCTGTTGCTTGCACATTGGCCCTGAGTCAGTACCCTGGCTGCCCTGGCACAAGACTTAGGGATTCTTTACCACAGACTAAGCAAGAACTAGTCATCAGTGTGGAAGTACAGGCTGGGAATATTGTGAGTGTCTTTACAGATTGGAAGAGCATGCTGTGTCCACCCTAGAAAGCCCTGGGGAATGGCAAATTCTACCATTTCCTGTGCCAGGAGAACAGCCGCCCCAGCCCTATCTGCCACCTCGGGATTTCTCTCTAGCTCCACATTTCCGTCTTTATCACCACAGTAAAATCAAGAGTCCACAAATTCATCATGTTTTCTGGGTCCCCTATTCCTCCCACAGTGTTGTGTTCTGCCTCATGATTATCAGATCTCCTGCTTACCTAATTCTCTCTCTGGAGCACTTAACACTCGTAACAATATCCTAACATGGTTTCCTTTCTAGGCATTCAGTGTATCATGTGCTCCTGGTTTTACTCTCAACTATCCAATAATCCTTTTCCAGTGTATCTTTCTTTCCTTAAATGTTAATACTCCACAGGGTCCATGGTCCTTGTTTTTCCATTGTGTAAACTCTCAGATGGGCTTCTAACTTCTATACCACTGTTATGCTAGTAACTCCTAAATCCTTGTTTCTAGTCTGGACCACTCACTCTCATTCTGCATGTGCATTTCCACCTGATGGTACCCAGAAGCATTTCACACTCAAGGGCAGAACTAATATTTTGCTCACAGAGAGAGAGAGAGAAAGAGAGAGAGAATCCCTAGAATCAATCAGATATCCAAACTAAAAACATAGCAGAGGGCTGGGAAGTTGGCTCAGTGGTAGAGCGCTTGCCTTGCACGCATGAGGCCCTGGGTTCAATTCCTCAGCACCACATAAGCAAAAAGAAAAAAGC